TCTGCAGCCACGTTGGAGGCTACAATTAGTGGAGTGGTGTCCATTAATCTCCCTTTTGCAACACATGTTCATCTCCCGCTTCGCGCTCTGATTTGTACTTAGAGTATCCGCTCCCTCGCTGAAGGCGCACGATCGAAGTGTAGCAAGTCTCTTCCAGGTCACGTCATTTGTCCTAGGCGAGCTTTCGGTTTCCACTATGGTCCGGTAGATGAGCCGTTCAAATACCTTCCGCAGAGCACCGACAGCTGGCAGAACGCTTCTGTCTTTTCGGGCAAGTCGCATACACTCAGCAGGCGCTGGTCAGAAGTCGACTATTCCAAAGAGATAAACACACATATAAATGAGTAGAATGGTATTACAACGCGATCACGCAGCGTTTTAAGCTTCACAATATCAACAGATTAACATAGATAGATAAGAGGAGCCATCTGTATCGTCAAATTAAAAACCTCAGCAAGAAAAGCCGAGAGAAAGGACAAGCAAAACACTACCGGAACGAAGCAGAAAAAACGCACGGTGCTTGTGTGTCATTCTGCCGCAAATGTAGGAGGTACCGCTTGGTGTGTGAATTTCCTCCAGCAGTAAGCATTGGTAAGATCTGTGTAAACTATGGATAACTATCTACCTATATTTGTACCCGTGCACCCGTCCGCCCGTGCGTTTATGACTGGGCACGAATGATAGATGATGATGCTTTCGCATTGTCCGGCGGTTGTCTGCAGAAAAAAATGTCTTCCCTGCACTCGAAGAAGAGCTATTGAACTGCCCAAGATGGGTGCAAAACATCGTGGGTAACAATCAAGAGATCTGTTCCAGCATCAGATATGGTTCGATGCTTGGCGCCGTCATACATATGTCATCGTTACTGGTTTGCATGGTCATAGGATTTTAGAGACATATTGTCTAACTTGCTGTCTTCGTGTGCGCTGTTGTGATGTCATGCGCCAATCGAATTCCCTTCATGCCGGTCAGAGTCAATCCCTGCATTTAGCGACACATTTAATCACCATCAACGCTCACTTCAGGTTCATTCACAAATGTGAAACCCAAATCACTTATGCAGTCAGTTGGTGGTAAATTAGTCCACAAATGTAACGTGTTTTCCAAACGAATCACTTCTACTGACCACTGTCAACGTTAACCTCAATGAGCCGCATGGCTCAAAAAACTACAAGTTCATACAAGGCAAACACTCCTGGCCTCGACCTGAATCGACCTTGACCTGATCTTACCTTGACCGTCAAGCTTCGTTACATCATGGTAGGCTTATGACGCCAAAAAGACTAGGTTAAGTTTGACACTGGTGTGGAAGCTATACGACCTTTATTACGGGAGCTGCGGACACTGTAAGTCGTCAGGTAGAAAACAACTTATGGGCACGACGATCACTAACAATGTATGAGGTACTTATCATGGCCGGTGATGACATCAGTCACGTGATAGATGTGAAATGGATTTTCACAAGTCACAACAGTCTAGACGGTGGAAGATCGTTTGAGTTTATCCGATCTGATGACTGGGGTCTGAGGCCTGGGAGGGGTTTAAAGAACCCCATGTTCATGAGTTCGGGGTGAACGCAGTAGTCCGGGTGCGCTAAAGCTTTGTGAGGCTAGATGTAGAGTATCGTTAAGTGAGCACCAGCGCTGTGCGATCTGTGCGCTCTTCAACTACACGCTGTGCTGTGCCGGGTACCGGCCGATGATTTGAGTGAACGCTGGGGGCGCTGGGGACGGAGGCCCGACCGGCGACAGCCGTCCGACTTCTGTCCGCACCAGGAGCAGGAAATGGACGTCACTCGGCCGTCCGCGCCCGTCTGGCCCAGAAAGCCTTGCACTTTGGCTCCACGGTTCGTCGGAGCAGAAGGCTGCCCTAATGGAGCGATGCCAAGGACCATCGCATCAATATCAGGCCATTTGCTTTGGGACGCTTTTTTAGAGCACTGCTTTAATGCGTAAAAATGCGTTTAAATGACAACTATGAGTAGAAAATTGTAAGTACATGGCTACAACTGGGCTCGTGTGATATCCGACGCATGGGCGTCTTTTTAACTACGACTTATAGACTAGTTAACTGATGCAAGTGAATCGTGCTTTCCGTGGCTTTTAGAGGCAGTATCCATCTTCTTGTACTTTTCATTTATTGTTACATCAGACTCGTACGCTTTTATTTGTAATACCTGTTTTCTCGAAATCCTATTCAATAGCTCAGAATTTTTATTCGAAGTAGCCAACCCTGCGGGCAAATCTGATTTTACTTCATTTAACTTCTGCTGCTCACCACTGTGAAAGCAATAAATTTCATTTGCCTTGCCCTTCCAGCATGTGTTGTCTGTAATGTATGCAGCACACCATCATGTCAAAACGTTTGTGTAATTAATGCCACGAAAGTTTGAAACACTCTATTGAGACAAAAACACGAGAAAGCATAGAACTATCGTCCGCGAATTCAACGAAATGTTATACTATGTCTTGGCGTCTACTATTGACTTTTTGCACGGTGACTGTTTTCGAGGCTCACTTTGGCTTTGAAATGGGAGTATCACATGATCCATATGATCCACTGGTTGAAACTTCAGCCAACCAACTTATCGTTAACAGGTTCTTGCCCTCTGGGCCAATCACAAACTTTCTTTTATTCGCACCAGTAGAGGCGTGCACGGTCATTGTCATGACAACGATGGTGACAACCACAAGGGGCAAGCGTAGTACCATTATAAAGCGTTGACAGCTTTATTTGGGCTAGCACATAATTTAGGCGAATGCTCCACATTTAAAGATGTCAAGCCAAGCATTAGATATCATGAAATAAGCTCACTTGTAACTACTGGCATACTTTTAATTGGAAAATACTGCTCTGGACAACGCAATTTCTCTGTTTAGTAAGTGTGCTCCTCGATACGTCATTGTTTGGTTGCGTCATCGCACCTTGCATAACATTAATTGAGTGCTAATTGACGGCCGTTATATCTGGAAATCGTGCACACAAACACCAGCTATGCAGGACTTGACAATCATCTTTTTCTTGGTCTTGATCGCCGCATAGCTAATGAAATGGCAGAATTTGAATAACGTTGTTATAGCGTCATGGATGCCTGAGTGAGATTGAAATAGCCTCCCACAAATAGTCTGCACATCTTCGCGGGCGTGCAGCTAACAAGAAAACTGGAGGTGCTTGGGTCCTAAGAAGAGCAGAGCTGTGGACTGCACCGAATGCTGTTCAAGATGGCTATTTCAGCAAAAAGCCCCTTACCCTTGCGGAAAGCTTCCTTTTAAAATTAATATCCTTATTATGTATTGACGGTGCTGCAGTGAGACAACCTAGTGCTATTACCAGACATAGATAATTCTGAGGTTTCACAAGAGTATGTTTTTGAAATATGCCGTAAAGGTTGGACGCTCGCTGTTGCGGTACGCTGGTGTGCCGAAAGGTGCTGACTGGGCTGAAAGGAAGCATAAACAGAAAATACCAGTGTTTTAGTGCAGCCAAGTCTAGATGCTGAAGATCATTATCAGCGGTAAGAGCCCTATAAACTATTGCTGATTTCTTTACCACTTGCAATAAATGGAGCAAAGTTGAGTGTGGCATGTTTAAATGACTATGGTGAAGTGCTGCATGCCAGCGAGCGAAGCACCAGTTAGCGTCCGCAGCGAACTAGGCTCCATCGGACACATTTCTAAATGTTCTTGAACTTTAAACACTTGATTGTGACAGCATCCGCGAAGTTGATCGACTGGTAGCTATCAATCAAGCCCATGACTGAGCAATGGGCCAACACTTCCCTGTTGTTTGCCAAGCGGCTAGATGGTCGTCAGTCCAGAGCCAAACGCATGGGCCGGAGTTGCTCTTCCGACAACGGACGACTGCAGTTAGCTCAAACTCGATGAATGGACGCCTCACCCGAGTCGACAAACTTTTTCCGATTGTTTCTGAGTTAGTTCGATGCGCCAGTTTGACCCAACATAGCGGTGCTGGGCCAAGGACGCCCAGATGGTGCAGGTGACGGCCTCCAGCCCGCTTCTTTGCCAAACTTTCCCACTTTTACCCCTACCATGGTGAACGATGGCCGATAAGTAAGGAGTTATGGGCATAACTGAGCTGCGTATGAAAGAATACGGCGTGACGGCGTAGAAATTGAGGAACAACACTTGCTCCTGCCCTTCACACGGACGTGGGTGAGGGAAACTCGAGACGGACAGTGAGATCGTGACCAAAACGATAAGTATTAATGTAAAGACACTGACTGCCTCTCCCGGTCGTCCCATCTTATGCATTCATTATGCAGGTCATTCAAATACGTGGAAGCTTACTGATCACTGCTTGTCAATCCACGGGGTCTCCTCATAATTCCAATCGTGTCTTTGAAAATGGACGCATCGAACTATCCGTTCGAATCCACTACCTACATTTTCATCGTGAGTATTCAAAGGTAATAGAAGCTTAGCAACCCCAGGTGTTCACCCGGGCTAGCCAATACCTCAAGCACAGAATACCGATTTGATGTGTGCGCATACGTGTGTATCTGTAGCCTCACCTCAAACCACAAATGTCGCGTGTTATTAACAAAACCTGACTGACAAATGGCCAGTCAGCGATTCTTGCGCGCGTAGCACGGACAAGTGTGGTAGGCTGCGGTGAGCCGAAAGCCTAGGAGAATTACTCCCGCCCGAACACACACCGCATCTGTGTACGCAATGACCGCGAGTCCAGTAACGTCGTACTTCTCTGCGTCCTTTCGGGGCCCGAGGATGCCGTGGTTTTCTGACGGGGTCTAAAGTCCGGCGACGCCGTGGTTCTCTGACCCGGTCTAAAATCCGGTGATGCCGTGGTTCTCTGACCCGGTCTTAAGTTCAGTGACGTCGCGGCTCTCTGACCCAATCTAAAGTCCGGTGACGCCGTGGCTCTCTGACCCAGTCTTAAGTCCGGCGATATCTCGGTTGTCCGCCAGTCGCCCGTCGGACCGGTGGCGCTGCCGTCCCCTGACAGTCAGCTGCTTCGCGCAGGTGCATCACGATGACCAACCGCGCCGAGAGCCGACATCTGAAACGGATCCGCTCCGAGGACGGCGAGCCGGCGCCGCGCAAGAAGAAGCGCGCCGAGCGACCGCGTCCCGACGACGGCACCGCCGCGCGCGACGCGTCGCCGTCGACGCGGGAGCCGGCGGCGCGGGACCCGGCGGCGCGGCCGGCGGAGCCGTGTCGGCCGGAGCCGCGCACGCTGACCGTGCTCGAGGCGCGCTCGGGCGGCGACGAGGTGGTGCGAGTGGTCAGCCCGGCTGCGGAGGACAGTCAGCCGCCACCGGAACCGGAGCCGGAGCCGGCCGGCGCCGAGGAGCGGCGCGAGCCGTCGGCCGGGCTGCTCTACAACCCGCTCGACGACCTGCTCAAGATCGAGACCGAGTGCGCGTCCATTCAGTCGATGGCGCGTCACTGCGAGCGCGGAGGTGCGCGCACGGCCGAGCGACCGCGGCGGGGCGAGGCGCCGGCCGCGGAGACCGCGCCGCCGCCCGCCGCCGCCGCCACCGTCGCCGACCCCGGCCCCGACCCCGACCGCGACACCGGCGGCCCGGCGGCGGCACCCGAGGGCGCGGTGGCGGCCCAGCCGTCCGAGCCGGCCGCCGAGGTCGGCGCCGGTGGCGCCAAGTCCCCGGCGACGGGCGGCGGGCCGCCCACGCCAGCCGCCGCCGGCTCGCCGCCGTCCCCCGGCTACGCGCCGCCGGGCTCGCCGGCCACGCCCGCTGCAACGGCGACCAATGGCAGCGCCGCCAGCCCCGGCCCGTTGGCCAATCAGCGCTCGCCGTCGGCGGCTGGCAGTCCGCTGTCCAAAGGTGGGTCGATGCACGCTGCCACCGATGCCGCGGCCACCGCCACCCTTCGTGGATTGATTTGCCACTCACCTGTCTGCCACGGCCGCCTGACCGGACAGCCGAATGAAATGCACTCTGCGAAGATGGAAAGGCTATCAGAAGTTTGTCACATGTCAGACGCGGTTTCGCCCCGTGGCGACGCTTCGCTAAATTTTAAACGACCATAGGCTTTGAGAGACTCTATAGCACGCGCTTACATGCAAACGGTCTGTGATTTGCTCGAGACGAAGATGAATCGAAAATCTTTCCGGAGGCTTTGTGTGCTTATCCTATGAACGAGGCAGACGCAATCCACGGCTAGATGGTGCAACTGGATTTCAACATCCGATCACAAATGATCTTTAAGCTGAGAGGTGCAACAAACTTTTATTTGTAAGCCCTTGACGTCAGTTAAGAAAATCAGTGTTTTCCACACAGAAAGCACTTGCTATCCTACAGCGTGAGTCCAACTTCTACCGGCCGTACACCGCCGCAAGTCAGCGGACTCAGCCGACCTCGCGTTTGCACGCCGCCACCAGCCGATCCGGCCGCGCCTGAGCGTGCGGCGCGGGCGTCATCGAAACCGCGACCGCAGCCCCTGAGAGCCTTCGACCGTCATCGCGTGTCGGGCGTCGCTCGTTCTGCCTTGCGGTTGTACGGGGCTATCAAAGCAGCGCGGCGAAAAGTTGGTGGGCCCGCGGCCGGCGCGGCCACCCGCGGCCCGCTCCCGCCGCCAGACCGAACTTTGTCGGCCGTCGGCCATTTCCGAACCGGGCGGCGGTGGGCCGGCCATGCATAATACATGCCTGGCCGAGCCGCGCTGTAAATAGGGGCGAGCTGATGAGCTGCCGAGCGGCTGCGTTCGCAGAGAGCCGGCTCGCTGGCGCGGACGGGGAGCGTGCGCCCACAGTGGCTGCGATCGCAGAGAGCCGGCGCACTGGCGCAGGCGGGGAGCGTGCGCCCACAGCGACTGCGTTCGCAGAGAGCCGGCGCACTGGCGCAGACGGGGAGCGTGCGTTCACTGTGGCTGCGATCGCAGAGAGCTGGCGCGCAGATGGGCAATGTGTGCCCACTACCACCGCTGGAATCGTGATGGTCGGACGTCTCTGGGCGGTGGGCGAGGGTCTGATTTCAGCTGGTTGACGCTGGCTGGAAGCTGGATTTTTCAAAAGGCAGAGTAGCGGAGGAGGGCTTTGTATTATGCGGTTTGGTGGCACAGTTCTGCGGTCTTCCACACTGTACCATGTACTATGCCAAAGTCATCTACTGTCATTCGCTCACCAGTGCTCTTATCATTCTCTCCATCCTGTCGCAAGCGGGAGTCTACCTTCTCCACTGCTTGGCATCAGGCTCTTATCACCGTCTACACTCGGCGTTCTTCCACGCATCGCAAACGCTGTTCCGCAATGCAGGCGGTAATGCGGTACAGTATACCACTCTCGAGCGCCGGGCAACAGCATACTCGGCGGCAGGCGGGCGACGGCGGTAACACGCAGCGTCGTCGCGGAAATGGGCGTCAACCGGTGCCCTGAGTACCAAACGCCTGGTCAGCCAGGGCTCTCAGAAGCTGCCGGTAGGCTCTCGGAGGCTGCCGCTACACCAGGGTCGGCAGCTCCATGACAGCTGCCACGGGTTTTAACAAGGCCAAATGCACAGGAGGCGCAGGTTGGCGTGCAAAGCGGGGAAGTGGGTACATGAACAGTCGCCCTCTATGAATTCCTTAGCATTGTTGCTATATCGGCTACATGCTAGAAATGAATAAAACGCTCGATTTCTTCTTTTTTGCGTGATCTCTACACCCCGGTAAGCGCTTACTATGACATTCAACGTGCAACTATCAACAACTTTGCATTCATGACTCGCACCTGCGGCCATCTCAGGTCTTGAACACCCGTCTATTGGCAGTGGTTGTGTCGGGCATGCTTTTATTCATCGACCGTTCATTAGCCCAGGGCCTGGTGCTTGCGAGTGCTGACAGTCTTTCCAGTTTTAGGCTGTCATCAATCACTTTGAATTAAGTTATCCTGTGCCAAATTGTGCTGACTGGCAGTAAGCGTGCTCCGCTGCTGTAAAGATTGGCCTTAGATACAATCAGTTTACAGCACACATAAAATGTATTGCCTATTTTTAGTTCAGATTCAGAGTGATTTGATTTCACAAACATCTCTTTGGAAATACTGGTGCACAGCTGGAAAGAAGAAGCCAGATAATTTTTCTTCTTTTTACAAGCCACAAAAGCAAAAATGACCGCCCTGGCACATTTTAAGGCTACGTTTTTGGATGCAGGTCACAGTGAAGCAGTCATGCAGCGCATGCCACGCATTGTGCCTGGACTTAATCGCGCGCGCCATCCAAAAAGGGTTATCCCGGATTTTTGTCCCTTCTTAGTGACCGGGTGTGCGAAATCCAGACATTGACAGCCGTAAGAACCTTGATACTGGGAATGCATGACAACGTAGGCCCTCCTGCCATCTATATTTTAGGCTCTGTTGCTTTTTCCAAGAACGAACGTTCCAAAACCGCGAGTACATCTGACATCTGACATCTGAGGCGAGTTATGTTTTGTTAGTGTCTGCTCTACTGCGGTTATTATCATTGTCTGCTTTACTGCGATTGTTATCAGTGTCTGTTTTAATGCGGTTGGTAACAGCTGCTGTGAACAATAAGTGAAAAATGCAAAAAAAGTGGGACACTCCGTTTAAAACAACTGCGATTGCATTGAGCTGGTTCTTTACCTATCAGCTTAGTAACAGTACATGTTAAGCATCACAAACACTGCCTCAGGAGCAGAGGAGCTTAAGATCCCTAACGAGTAGAAGCAGCTTCCTTCCATAAATCATTCTGTTCCCATGTTCATATTAGCAGTGCATCTGGTTGCATGCATTTGCATGACTTTAATATTGGAGAGTTAAAATTAGGCGTTGGTTGAGCAACTGCCATGCACTTGATGTAAAAGGGCACCTGGATGCAAGTCAAAGTGCGTTAAAACAGGAAGCCATCCCATGCCTAAGGTTCCATGAATGATCCATGCCTGAAATATTTCACTTTGCAATAAACACGTTGAAAAAGAGAACTGCTCAGGGACGTAGTTTTGCAAAAGAGCTGGAGAGGGGGGGGGGGGGCAGTGAAGCATGATGAAGCTGCCACCTAAAATTCTCAACTTTAGTTTTTCTCCCTTTCTTCTCAAAGCTCGGGGAACAAGAGTCAAAGTTGGGAGGGGAAAAGCAGAGTTATTGTTAAGTATATTCTTCCCTGAGCATATAACGCAAAACGAAAATTACATCAGTTGTGCTCAGCAGGCAACTTTTTCCGTCCGTTTAACAAAACATGAGTTTTTAGGGAGTTTTGCTGTAATGACATCCACGACAGATATCCAAAAGCCTCACTAGCATGTCTCATACCTAGTCTCAGCACGAGTCTCAGTGCCAGATGCGCCTAAAGTTGGCCATTTGCCAGCCCACTCGTCAGGCCAGGTGTGCTTAGTAAGGTTCTCATTCATTGAATCCAACGTCGCATGACAAGAGCACTTCCCGACATTTGCGCAACGGGAGGCGGGCATTACAACTCAACGGCTCCCATTTTCTTTTAAAACGTTTCTTACTTGAGCCATTCGCGCATACAATGGCTCCACCTGAAGCACGAATAGCTCAATTATATTGGCTGGAATCCAGATGGTTCATTGAAACACAACAGGAATAGACCCGGATTATGTCCCCTGTTGACCTCTTCCCCATTTCATGTCGCAGGGAACGACAGTGGCTGCCAAATGCAGCGAGTGCATTTTGAGAATTTTTAAGATACACATTGTAAAGTCTGCGCTCTGCTCCGGTTCGCTGATGAGTTTTTTGTTTCGGCTTTGGCGAGAGAATGTCAGCCTGTTTTGGTAAGATGCAATCATCTCTCAATGTCATATATAATCTCAGCTCTACTTCAGTTCATTGCAGTAAGCTCTGTTTTGCATTCATGAGAATCTCAACGTCATTTCGGCCTGGTAGTGCCCAATTCCATTTTTCTGAATAGAAAAATCAGCAACGTTTCCTTGGTACGCAAATCGGCCGCCTTCCTCTGATCTGTTAGTTCGCTCAATTCCTGCGAGGGGATGTCAACCAGGTTTATTCCTCTGTGGGGAAGTCAACTATGTTCTCCTGACGTGTGTACCCACTCTTTACCTTCGAGACGGGAGTGGGCTCTATTCTCCTAATGTGTGCACCAGCTCTATTCCTCCGAGGCGGTAGTGCGATTTATTCTCCTGATCTGTGAAGCAGCTCTATTCCTCTGAGACGAGTCAGCTCTATTCTCCTGATGTGTGAGTCAGCTCTATTCCTCCGAGGCGGGAGTGCGCTGCTCTCCTGATCTGTGAAGTAGCTCTGTTCCTCTGGGGCGGGAGTCAGCTCTATTCTTTTGATGTGTGAGCCAGCCCTATTTCTCTGAGGCGGGGATCGGCTCTATTCTCCTGATATGTAAACCAGCCCCATTTCTCTGAGACGGGAGTGGACTCAACATTTTTGATGTGTAAACCAGCCCTATTCTCTGAGGCCCCACGCTCAGCTCCGGGGTCAGCTCCATGCTCCGGATGTGTGGATCAACTCTATTCCTCTGATGTGTGCCTCAGCTCTAATCACCCGGCGCGTGCCTTCCTGGCGCGCCCCCTCTCATGCGGGAGTCGGCGCCGTCCAGCGCGTCCGCCGAGGTGCCGGCCGGCTCGGCTGCCGCCGGCGCGCTCGTCACCGCACCGGGCCGCCTCGCTCGCCGCCCCGTATTGATCGTCCGTTATTGAGAAAGTTGGACAAAGTTCGAGCCATTCGAGAATCAATCTAGGGGCCGCCAGGAGCAGCCGGCTGGAGTCAGGTAATTTACATTGGAGGACAGATTCACCGCGCCGGGCCGGCTGCCGGCGGTGCCGAGTCCCGGATGAGGGTCGGATCGGGTCGGGTCGGGTCAGGTCGCATCAGGAGCTAGTGGACTGGATCGTTGACGGTCTGGCTGTGACGACAGCCTGAATTGCGCCGCTGTGGCTGTTGCTGTTGGTCATATGCGTCGCTATCTATATGGCAATATATGTTGAAAACGGACGGGTCCCAGAAACGTCACCAGGTTTTGTTCATTCAGAGATTGGGTCTACTAGTTTTAAGCTTTATGGCCCCTACAACGGGGATATTTTTCGATTGCCAAAAGCGACTTCCCTATTCAGACCAATACACAACAAGGGAGTGTTTGCCTCGAGCGCACTGTTCGGTTTCGGCACGCTGGCCTATGGCGCAGCGGTGTCGGCACTACGCTGCGATGCTGGTGCAGCTCTTGTGTGCGGCATTCTATAGCGCCGAAGAGGAAGTCGAAACTTCGCAGAAATACTGCGGCGTAAGCGACCAAATAACATTGTCTATTAACAGATTCTGCAGCCATCTATGCATTGAACCAATTAAAATGTGCGCTTGATACAACGCTCAGCGTTGTGTCGTTCTGGGGATGCCGTGTACTGCTGATCATTCATGCCTTAGAGATTGCCTATCAATCAGGTAGCATAAACTTACTTATTCGGCCATATATATATATATATATATATATATATATATATATATATATATATATATATAATTCAATAGAAGCGTCAGATCTGGGTCTTACATTTCTGCAGGCTTAAAAGCAGCCTTGTGCAAAGCGTGGAACCATTTGCATAACTACCCGGACAATAGAGCCTGGTACCGGGTTGTTTGTCTCGGCTTCCGACCCTGGCTCGTGCTCTTTCCAAGCCAGAGAGCGCACGGCACAGAGACCTGTGCAGGGCGCGTTCCCCACGCCTCCTGGCGCTGCCACGGGCAATGCCTCACCAGGGCCGACGGCCGGCGGCAGCGGCGGCAATTTATGACCAGAACATGTGCCCCCTTTGTCTACCGGCGTAATTAACGAGCAATTCGCCACGCTCATTTGGTGGCACTCCTCGAGATCTGAATTTCAACTGCGGCCACCACAAGTGCGGCACTCCCTGTAAATCACGTTTGGGCGGCGACTACTGGGCTAGAACGCCACCGCATCGGCAGGCTCAGCAACGCAG